CCTCCCAGCCTCGGTTTCCCACCCCCCCCCAACCCTCCCATGGGCCCGATCCTCCCCCTCCTCCTCCCAGCCTCGGTTTCCCACCCCCCCCCAACCCTCCCATGGGCCCGATCCTCCCCCTCCTCCTCCAAGCCTCGGTTTCCCACCCCCCACAACCCTCCCATGGGCCCAATCCTACACCCCACCCCCGGCTCTCACCAGGACGGTGATGGTGATGGACTCGGCAGTGGGGCGCAGCTCGTGGTTCAGGGCGAAGACTCGGAAGTGAACTGCGGGGGGGAACGAGACAGGCTGTGAATGGGGGGGGGCTGGGGGAAAGGGGGCAGGGGGTGGGGGGGCTGGGGACCGTGGGAGGCAGGGGATAAGCAGGGGATGCAGAGGGAGGTGGGGGCAGGGACTGTAGGGTAAGGGGGCCACGGGGCACAGGGGGAACGTGGGGGGCAGGTGGCCATGGGGCGTGGGAGGAACATGGGGGGCAGGAGGCCATGGGGCACGGGGGGCATGGGGCACAGAGGGAACGTGGGGGGCAGGTGGCTGTGGGGTGCGGGGGGAACATGGGGGCCATGGGGCACTGGGGCTATGGGGCACCGGGGCCATGCAGGGCAGGAGGCTATGGGGCAAAGGGGGCCGTGGGGCGTGGGGGCCGTGGGGCACAGGGGGAACATGGGGGGCAGGAGCCCATGGGGCGCAGGAGGTGTGGGGTGCAGGGGCCATGCAAGGCAGGAGGCCGTGGGGCACGGGGGCCGTGGGGCACAGAGGGAACGTGGGGCACAGGGGCCGTGGGAGCCATGGGGCACAGAGGGAACATGGGAGCAGGGGGGCATGGGGGCCGGGGCCATGGGGCACAGAGGGAACATGGGGAGGAGGGGGCCGTGGGGCGCAGGGGGAATGTGGGGGCCATGGAGCACGGGAGCTGTGGGGCACAGAGGGAACGTGGGGCGCTGGGGCCATGGGGCATAGGGGGAACGTGGGGGCCGTGGGGGCACGGGGGGCCATGGGACACAGGGGCCGTGGGGGACATGGGGCACAGGGGGAACGTAGTGGGTGTGGGCGCAGGAGGTGTGGGGCACGGGGGCTACGCAGGGTAGGAGGCCATGGGGCGCGGGAGCCATGGGGCGCGGGGGCCGTGGGGCAGGGGGCGAACGTGGGGGGCAGGTGGCCCTGGGGGCGGCTCTCACCCTTCTGCCGGGGCGTGTAGACCGGCTTGTCGGTCTGGATGAAGAGCTGCCCCGCGCCGGCTGGTCCAGGCCAGGCGCAGGGTCCGGGCACCCGGGGTGGGCAGCTGGGGGCTCCGCGCGACCAGCTGGACGTAGCGACTCCGGCGCAGCGCGGTCAGACCACAGCGAACCGCCAGCTCCGGGGTCACCTGCGGGGGCAGCACGGGGGGCACTGAGGGGCGGGGCTCTCCCAGGGGGCGGGGCTCTCCTGGGGCACTGAGGGGCGGGGCTCTCCCCAGGGGGCGGGGCGCTCCCGGGGCAGGGAAGGGGCGGGGCTCTCCCCAGGGGGCGGGGCGCTCCCGGGGCAGGGAAGGGGCGGGGCTCTCCCGGGGCAGTGAGGGGCGGGACTCTTCCCCGGGGGCGGGGCTCTCTCGAGGGGGCGGGGCTAGGCGCCCCCTACCTTCAGGGTGAGGAGCTGCATGTAGCCGTTCCCGGGGCGCAGGCTGAAGGGTTTCTCGCTGGAGCATTTCTGCTGCGTGTCGACCTCGTTCTGGAAGTAGAGGGTCCCGTCGAACTGCTCGGCCGCCCCCTCGGCCTGGAGCAGGACCCCCAGCTCCACGCCCACCGGCACCAGCCTCGGGGCCGCCATCAGCAGCCTGGGGGGAGAGAGAGATCGGCCAGTGCCCCTCACTCCCGACACGCAGCCCCCTCTTAACCCAGCCCCCCACGCCCTACCGGTGCCCCTCACTCCCGACCCACAGCCCCTGCCAGCCCGGCCCTGCCCCCCCCCAGCTCTGCCGGTGCCCCTCACTCCCGACCTGCAGCCCTGGCCAGCCCAGCCCTGCCCCCCCCTCCCCCAGCTCTGCCGGTGCC